GAGAGAGAGTGTGTGTGTGTGAAAGAGAGAGAGCTTGTTTGTTGTGAGCTTGTGTGTGTCAGTGAGCTTCTAGTGAGATTGTGTGTGTCAGTGAGCTTACCTGTAATAAGCTTGTGTGTGTGCCAGTAAGCTTGTTTATAGTGAGCTTGAGTATGGATCTGGGAGCTTGTGTGTGTGTGTTTATGTGTGTGTGTGTATGTGTGTGTCACACTGAGCTTATGTGCAGTGAGCTTGTGTGTGTCAGTAAGCTTGCCTGTACAGAATTTGTTGGCCCTATATAAATATAATAATAATAATAATAATAATAGTGAGCATGTGTGGGTCAGAGAGCTTCTGTATGTCAGTATGATTGTGTATGGATCAGGGAGCTTGTGTGTTTCAGTGAACTTGTAGTGAGCTTATATGTGTCAGTGAGCTTGTAGTATGCTTGTGTGTCAGTGAGCTTATGTGTCAGTGAGCTTGTAGTGAGCTTGTGTGTGTCAGTGAGCTTGTACTAAGCTTGTGTGTATCAGTGAGCTTGTAGTGAGTTTGTGTGTATCAGTGAGCTTGTAGTGAGCTTGTGTGTATCAGTGAACTTGTAATGTGCTTGTGTGTGTCAGTGAGCTTATGTAGGTTAAATCATTTCTGTGTTCATCATTAGTGAGCTTGTGTGGGTCAGACAGGTTGTGTGTGGCAGTAAGCTTGTCTGTAGTGAGCTTGTGCATTGGTCAGAGAGCATTTGTGTGTATCGGTGAGCTTGTCTGAAGTAAGCTTGTTTGTGTCAGTGAGCCTGTCTGTAGTGAGATTGAGTGTGTCAGTGAGGTTTTCTGTAGTCAGCGTATGTGTGTGTGTTATTGAGCATGTGTGATTTATTAATGTGGAACATACTTTTTAATATATATATTTGATGCAATTATATCATTGACACACTGATGAGGATAAACTGGATTGGAGGATTGCCGTGCTTAAAGAATTGTTCCCAAGAACTGCCAAGCAAAACAGGCAGGTGGTGGCCTGGAGGGTGGGTGTTACAGCAATGTAACACCCATGGATCATCTGGAGCAAGGGGCTGCAGTAAGTAAAAATATAAGTCTCCCAAAGCACATACATATAAAAAATACAAGCACATTATGTGACACAATGAATTAGAGGGCTGGAAGATTTTTTTCCAGGGCTGCTTTCTGTTCCCAGTCCGGCCCTGGTTGTAGCACTGCTGAAGTAGTTTTGAATTAACATCATAGGGAAGAGCATCCACCTGCTAGTGGTTAGAATCATTATTAACGGAAGTAAAAGTTGGTTTAAGACATCTTAATCTGGTTTTGCTTCTAATTCTAATATTGCTCTCATGGATTTCACAACTTAAAAGGTGACTTGTCTTCTACATTTAGTATAAATGCATTTGTGAGATCTCAGTTCTTTCCTGAAACTGGGCACCTCCATATTGGCTCCCTGTCAATCATTACTATAAATGTTGCCCTTTTCTGCCATTGAGATAGTTAATGGAAGAGGAGAAAACTAAACAATGTTTTTTTTCTCCTCCACCACCTTTGCATTGTGTGCCCTGGTTGTGCCTGGAGTGAACTAGATTGTGATATTAAATACACATTGTAAAAGAAAACATAGCATTATAGAAAGGTTAACACAAGCTATAGGTGATTTAAATGTTTTAATACATTTACGTAGAAGTTCTGCTCTACACGTATGGAATACATAATGCAAAAAGCAGTGCTTTTAATCCTGTATTGAAATTCATATAGTGTAATATGATTGAAAAGTTTCAAACATATTGAATACCTCCAAGGTTTCAAAACTTGGAGTTTACTAAACAACAAATTTTGTCTGGATGGCCAGAATTCTGTGACAGTGACCAAATTCCAACTAGATTGGCTATTCTCATATTTACAAAAGCCAGTTCTGCTGAAATTTTCTTTCTCCAAAGGTGTGGGGCTTCTATTGGAGCAAAATTTGCCTCATCTTACTTCAATCTTTTTACAAGTTTGATACTTCGTCAATATATTTTTTAGAATTTTTTCAAGTTTAGCAATGGAGAAGTGATAGTGGCCTCCATGCACAGGAAGCCAACGGGTGTAAATTCCATTTTGGAAGCATATTGGTGCGGCAGTTATTTAGACTGCACAAGAACTGCACTAATGACAGCACATATAAAATGACTGATAACACTTAAGGAAAGATTGATACAGAGGAAATACCCTAATTGGGTCATAGATAGAGGCTTTAAAGTTACCAAGAGTAAACAGAGAACAAAATAATTACACACAGTTATTGGGAAGAAAGAATGTGTATGAGTCAATTTCTCAACTATTTAGAGTTGACAGTTTAAGGATATTCAGTCCATTACAGAAATATGTCAACTATTTTTATTTGGTGATGAGATTTTGGCTTCAGTGATCCAATTTGTGGCATGAAAAGCTCCTACCTTATCTAATTAGTTATCCTCCAATCTATATCATAGTAAGGAGGTTAAAGAGAAGACAGGATAATGTCCCTTGCTTATAAATAGGTGAGGGGCACACAAATAAGGTGTTAACGTTGGTAAGAGTTTATTTTACAAAACACATTTTGTTTAATTCAGTTGATCCAAATGGTCCCTAACAAACTGAACCAAGTACTTATAGGAAATTAAATTCAAAAGAAATAAGTCTAACAAATCAACTTTTTTAAATTTTATTTTCTACGCCAAAGTTCAATATAGTATAGTAATCAAATGCTTACTTTGTAAATTATGACAATTAAAAAGTCAGACAAGTCAAATCTATTTATGCTTCTCAGTTTTTCATATATAATGCAAATTATGATTCAAAAAGCTCATTAGTACATGAAGCATATGCTTGACAGGTTCATTTGAAAACACAGAATAAAAAGACTAATAGATTGTGAGTGTTCTTCGTTGCTATATTGCCAGCCTTGAGATGTCTTGATCCAAAGACATGCTGATGTTTTATGTAATACATTTTCCATTCTGTTCATATACATTTTCTTGCAATTACTGTAAAGCATTTAGGTTGTCTTAACCCAAATATATGATGCAGATCAATTAGGCTATTTTTATTCCTGTTAACTGCAGAGAAGAACAGGGATAGCTACTGCCATAAATTGAGTAAAACAAAGAGAAGTCATGATATTTGAGTTGCAGTATTAGTCCAGTAATGTAGATGAAAAATAATGAAGTATTGCTTGCAGTATCTTGTAATACCTTTTAATTGGACTAACAGGAATGAGTAGTGACAAGCTTTTGGAAATGTTGCTCTTTATAAGTCTAAAAGTATTTTGACCAGATAAAGGGAAGAACTTCCAAAAGTTTGTCACTACAAATTTGTAGTGTTTAGTCCAATACAAAAAGGTATTACTAGAAACTGCAATATTTTATTATTGTGTAAACCAAAGAATAGAGATAGAATGTTACAGAACATGTTGCTGCTACCAATGTTGAGCAAGTAAACTTGGCAGTGACACATATGGGAACACAATTTGAACCACATACTTTATATACATTCCTCATTGTTTAACCCCTTAAGGATGGAGTCAATTGTACACGTTCTGATTAAAACGAAATGTAAACAAAACCTGTAATTTGCGCTATATGTCTATTCAACCATAATTAATCTCTTCCATATTAAGTGCAACCACACATATTATATATAATTTTCTCCAGGAGAAACAGGGCTTTCATTTCACATCAACTATTCATATATATATATATATATATATATATATATATATATATATATATATATAAAATAATGATTTATTATGAATAAAATCTAAAAAAGTGTACTGGTAGCTTTTACTGCAATAGAATACACATATTTGTATTCAGTGATGTTTCACAAGTACAACAGTACCCCACATGAACAGGTTTTATGGTGTCTTGGAAAGCTACAGAGTTAAATATTGTGATTGTGAATTAAATTCTCTGGAATTTCTGCCTGGGTTGTCAGGCATGTCCCTCAAAATTTAATTAATACAATTACATAATTATGTTAAAATATTACATAAATATACATGGACAATTTTAATATATATATATATATATATATATATATATAGACGTATATAAGTATAGTGGCACTCACCCTTTCATGTTGTATACATATAATAAGTATGCCCTGGTGCAATCCCACGCTGAGTATAGACAATAAATGAAAGAGATGCCCTCTGCGTTCATTAGAAGAAATCACTGGTATTTAATATCCAACAAAGTAACATAACTGGAAGCCATCAGAAGTGTACTGCGGTCTGTCTCCTTACGATACAGGGTGAATTCCAATCTCCCAAGACGTTTGTAGATAGTAACGTCCAAAAACTGGATGGACTGTAAATCATATTGCATACTCAATTTTACTGATGTGGGAGCATGGTTGATTTCAACTATCATGCTGTTCAATTCCTCTGCGGTACCCGTCCATATAAGGAATATGTCGTCCACAAAGCGATGATAATGTTTGATCGAATCCCCAAATTTCTGTAGGATATACTTGTGCTCAAACACATACATAAAGGCGTTGGTGTATGATGGCGCCATCACCGCTCCCATGGCTGTCCCAGAGAGTTGTAAGAAAAACTGCTTTTCAAATTTAAAATAGTTGCAGGTTAAAGCAATCTGTAAAAATTCTAGAACTAATTCTATAGGCGGTCCAGTGTACACTGAGGATTCACTCAAGATCATTCTTAGAGCCTGCACACCGTCCTCATGTGGTATGACTGTGTATAGGCTCTGGACGTCAAGGGTAACCATTATCAAAGCTTCTTTAACCCCTTAAGGACACATGACATGTGTGACATGTCATGATTGCCTTTTATTCCAGAAGTTTGGTCCTTAAGGGGTTAATCATGGGTGATAGATTGATTTTCTGGATAAAATCTCGAGTATCACGCAAACATGTGGGGAGTGCCACTATACTGTCCTTAATATAAAAGACTACATATTTGACCACCGGTTCTAGTAGGCTTTCCTTAGCGGACACGATGGGTCTGCCCGGTGGAGTCTTAGGATCCTTGTGTTATTTGGGCAAGGTGTAGAGCACCGGATGTTTAGGGTGTGCCATTTTCTCATCCAGAAACCCATTGAGAATGCCCAGGTCAATCTGATTCTTAATTCTCGTTTGGAACTTTTTCACAGGATCAAATGTGAGTCTGGTATATGTAGTATGATCATCAAGTTGACGTAGTATTTCTCTGCGGTAGTCTTGGTACGATTGTATCACTGTGGTTCCACCCTTATCTACAGGGTGTATGACAATGCTGGAGTCTTGGCTGAGGTCTTGTAGAGCCTTCCTCTCACCCAGGGTTAAATTTTGATGGTACTTTGGGGGCTTCGTCATCATCATATCTGTGTCCACCTTCACCGTCTGGATGAAGGTCTTAATAGAAGAGTTAGAGGTGCGTATATCCTTCTTATGTTTCTTAAAAATTGGCTGTGTCAGTTTTGGTGCATTATCCTTCCTAATTTCGTTCCAATATAATACTCTCTGAGTTTTGTACATTTCAATTTCCAACTGGAAGGGGTCTGCTTTGGAAACAGGAACAAACGAATGTCCTTTGTTAAGTAAAGAATAATGGTCAGTAGTTAACACTTTGTCAGATAGGTTGAAAATAGTCATCATTTCCTTGGCTTGGGAGGCTTCCCAGTGGGATTTTAATTTTTTTCCAATTGCTCTGGCCTCTTCGTATTGGGCGGTTTTACTTGCGCCTCTGGTACCGATTCTGGATGTATCTGGTGGTTCTCCTAGTTGTGTACCCATCTAAAAAAGTCTCATGGGATGGAGTTCTACTTTCTCCTCTGGATTCAGGGTCTGAGGTGGAGTCACCTGAACTGGTGTCAACTGTTTGAAATATAGGTTTTCGTATTTTAGTTCTGAACCTAATGTTGGTTCTAGAAAATTCTTGTGATCCTCCCAGCCATCTGTACACCTGATGATATTTGTAGTAGTTATTTACTTTCTATAATTTCTGCTTCTTAAAGCGAATTAGGTCATTTTTGTATTTATTCAATTCATCCTGCAATTTAAGCATTTGTACAGTGGCAGTGGATGCCTGTAATATGGAGGAGTTAGTGGTTTCCACTTTTTGAATTGACTGTTTAACAAAAATGAGTTCTCTGCCTACCTCCTCCACCACAATGACCATCCAGTCCAGTGAACATTTATTAGATATCAACATCCATTTTCTACAAAATTCTGGATTCTGGCGCCCTATAGTATGTGCATTTCTGACTCTGAACCCCCTGGGTATCCTCTTAGCTCTGTGATAATCAGAGATAAAGACCCCATGGAGGTCCAGGTCAATTTCCCTTTTCTTCAATTTAAGTAGATCATTGTATAAATCCTGTACAGTACTCGTGTGAATAAGGTCACCTGTAGTTTGTGGCTATAAAATGACGCTGGCTTGTTCTTCAGAGATAGATAAAGTTTCTGCAGATTCAAGCTTAGCTCCCGCTTTAGCCAAAAAGTCCTCCATGATAGCCACACAATTTCTCAGAGGAAGAGTTAATCCCTGTTAAGTGAATAATCCATGTTCAATAGTTATTTCACGAGGGGGTGCGCACAAAGATGCAGCGTACACAACAGAATATAGACGTATATACGTATAGTGGCACTCACCCTTTCATGTTGTATACATATAATAAGTATGCCCTGTTGCAATCCCACGCTGAGTATAGACAATAAATGAAAAAGAGATGCACTCTGCGGTCTTTAGAAGAAATCACTGGTATTTAATATCCAACAAAGTACATAAATCCGATCGATGTTTCGACCTCTTCAGGTGTTCCTCAAGATCAATTTATGAACATATATGGCAGAAATATATAGGGAATGAAGAAAGGTTACTCACCAATCATGCAGTGTTCCCTCACTCCAGTGGTCCGAACCCGGGAATTAATATCAAAATACAGTTAGAATGAAACTATATATATTTATATATATATATATATATATATATATATTTTTTTTTTTTTTATTATTTTTTTTTGTATTTATTATTGTATATATATATATATATATATATATATACAGTGGGACCTCGGTTTACGAATATAATGCGCTCTCCGGGACGTTTCTTATTGCGAAACATTTGTAAACCGAAATGTGGTTTCCCACCGGAATGCATTGAAAACCAAATAATCCGTTCTGGAGTTTAGAAAAAAGTCAAAATGAGCTGGCATGGAAACCAACCCACAATGCAGAACACACAATAAAAGGCATGCAAACGGCGAAGCTCAGCTCCCTACCTTTCCACAGCTTGAGAAATGTGCCAAAAAGTCCCAAAACAACTGAAAACAATTTCCAGAATGGCTCCAAAACTCAATGCAAAAGCCACTCCAACACCTCCACACTCGATGCCACATGCTACCTACAGGCTCCAGCATGCAGGGGGCGGTGCTATAAACCTCCCAGGTGCAATGCATCCTGGGGAAACTTGCTTTCTATTGTGAAAAATATTTGTAAACAAAGGCATTATTTTCAATGGATATTTATATGTAAACCGAAAATTATGTTAACCAAGGCGTTTGCAATCCAAGGTCAAACTTTATATATATCGTATATGTATATGCAACTTCATTCTAAGTGTATTTAATACTAATATATGCAATTATATTACTATTAAAATACACTAAGCATGATGTTACATATAAATAGTATTAATAAAATTATTTTATTGGGTAATAATGTTTTTTTCTACTTTTTCCACCAGCATATATTTATATATATAGTTAGTTAATACAATGCTAAACAAAAATCTGCCCACCAGTCAAGCCATTAGACTTGCAGTCACAAATTTGCAGTGATGTTCCTACCGCAAAGGATTCTGGGTGGACAATATGCAAATTAGTTTAACAAGAATCACATCTTCTCTGAAACTGCTATGTTTACAGCAGAAAGAGTTAATCCTAGGTGGATCTGGCACCCAGACCACTTCATTAAGCTGAAGTGGTCTGGGTGCCTATAGTGGTCCTTTAATGGTTTCTCTGTATTATTTAATTTATACATTATCCCTAGTGCATATGATTAAGCCATAAGACTTGCTTTTCCCACAAAAATCACACATTTGCAGTGATGTTACTACTGCAAAGAATTCTGGATGGGCATATGCAAATTAGTTCAACAAAGAATCAAATTTTTGCCTCATTTCATTTTAAATATGGATTCCTTTGAGTTTGTGTTTGCTGTGTACAACAGCTTTGAAACAGACTTCAGGTGGAAGGGGTTTTTCAGTCACAAATTTTTCCCCACCATAACCTTTTTGGTGTTTGCTTCCCTTTTATATATATATATATATATATATATATATATATCATAGTTGCATAGCTGAAAAGAGACTTGCATCCATCAAGTTCAGCCTTCCTCACATATGTTTTTGCTGTTGATCCAAAAGAAGGCCAAAAAAAACAGTATGAAGCGCTTCCAATTTTGCAACAAACTAGAAAAAAATATCTTCTTGACCAAAATGGCAGTCAGATGTCTCCTTGGATCAAGCAGCTATTACCCCACTAATTAGAAATTATATCCCAGTATATTATGTTTTTGGAAGTATTTATTCAATTGCTGTTTAATCAACTGTGTGGACTCTGATGAAACCACCTCTTCAGGTAGATAATTTCATATCCTTATAGTTCTTAAGGTAAAAAACCCTTTTCTTTGCCTTAGATTAAATCTCCTTTCTTCCAGCCTAAATGCGTGACTTTGTGTCCTATGTATAGCCCTGTTTATGAATAGATTTCTAGATAATGGTTTGTACTGGCCCCGAATATATTTGTATAATGTTATCATATCCCCTCTGAGGCGCTGTCTTTCCAAACTAAAGAGATTTAAATTTTTTAACCTTTCTTCTTAACTAAAATGCTCCATTCCTTTTATCAATTTTGTAGCTCATCTTGGAACGTTTTCTAGTGCCATGATATAATTCTTTCATCCTGAGAATTTATGCCCCTATTTATACATTACAAAACCTTACTGGCCTTAGTATCTGCAGATTGACATTGCATATTGCTGCCCAATTTGTTGTCTATGACAATTACCAAATTCTTCTCGTGTGTGGTTGCCCCTAATTCACTGCCATTTAGGGTGTAGGTTGCTTATGCATTCTTGACCTCGAAGTGCATAACTTTGCATTTCTCTACATTAAATTTAATCTGCTATTTTAGTGCCCAGTCCCCCAATCTATCTAAATTCCTCTGCAGCAAAGCAATATCCTGCTCACATTTTATTATTTTACAAAGTGTTTTGTCATCTGCAAACACTAAAATATGGCTTTCAATGCCTATTTCAAGAAAATGTATAAATAGATTAAATAGATGTTGTCCCAAAACAGAACTCTGAGGGACACCACTTTTGTCCAGCTTGAAAATTGACCATTAATGACAACTTGTTGTACTCTATCCTTAAGCCAATGTTCTACCCAAGAACATTAATATTCATCTAGACCAATTTCTTTTAGTTTGAAGACTATCCTATTCTGAGGAACCGCATCAAATGCCTTGGCATCTATACTTCTAGTTACTTCTTCATAGAATGCAATTAGGTTAGTTTGACATGACCTATGTTTCATAAAACCATGCTAATTATTGCTAGTATCAAAGTTCTTCCCAATGAATTCCTGAATATTATCCCTTAATAGCCCTTCAAATATTTTCCCAGTCACAGAAGTTAAGCTCACAGGTCTATAATTTCAAGGCAAGGATTTTGAACCCTTTTTAAACTATAGGAACGACATCTGCCTTCCTCCAATCCTCCGGTACAATACCTGAAACAAATGAATCTTGAAAGATTAAATATAGAGGTTCACTTATTTCCCCACTTAGCTCCTTAAATACTGGTGGGTGAATACCGTCAGGCCCCAGAGCTTTATTTGCATTCATTTTCTTTAACTGTTGTAGCACCTTGTCTCAAGTCATCCAATCACAAGTTATCTGCAAGTTTTTTGCAGCAATCATTTGCATATCTCTTGCCAAAGGATCCTCATATTTGCAAATCTTTGTATTTATATAGATATATATAGAATGTCATTCTAAGTGTATTTTGTTACCAATACATATATAAATATATATATATATGCCTTCCATGTGATCTCTCTATGAGATTGATCACATGGCCCCCAGAGGGACCTGATTTGCTGTGGGAGGACAGGCTGTCAGGCAGTCCTCCTAAAGCGGAGTGCAGGTAAGAAAAGTATCTCGGGCGCTCCAGGGCACTAAGCCATTACAACGTTCTGTGCCGCCGCAACGGCTTTAAAGTCCATTAAATGTGAGATGGCATAGAACTCCGTAAAGACATTAAGGGGTTAAATATTTTAGTCTGGTGTTATTATTTCTCTTATCTCAACCCAGGTGCTAATAAAAACCTTTATGCTTTGGCAATATTATTGTTCTAATTTTGTATCCAAACCATAAACACTCAGTTTTCGCAATTTTATTGTTATAACCAAAATTCTATATTCTTTACATTCTAGGCACCAATACTACTTTAATGCATTTGAGATGTCTTTGCCTTTTCAATATGCTGCATTTTGTTTTTTTGCATGCTTGAATTTTTTTTATAGTCTTTGCATAAAATAAATAAATGTTTTGTAGAATGCGGCAGCATAAGCTTTACTCTTTAGCCACACACCCTCCACTACACATACTCTCCACTCCATAAAAAATACTTTCTTATCAAAAAGGTATGCACAAAGCTCAGCCACTGAGAGCACTGTCTATCTCAACTACAAAACAACCTGCTTTACAAGTAAAGGACACCCATATATT